TTCTGTTTTCTGTGGAGGTCAGTGAAAACATTTCTCAACTGAATTTGTTTACTTGGCCGTTTGTTGTTTTGGGACTCATTTTGATGGAATTGTTTGTCCTTTTTTCTTTCTTTTAGTTTTTCTTTAGACACTTTTTAAGTCATCAAAGCTTAGATGAAAGTTTTTCTTTAGTTTCTCCCAGAGCTTATGTTAATGATTGAGTTCATAATGTCCTCGGGTGCTTAAAATAATTAAAAATACTTAAAAAGGCTTTAAGGCTTTTAAAGCAGCTCTCTTAAATTATTATAGTTTAATTTATGTCAAGCATGAATTTGTATATTCCATGAAAGTCCAAACTGTTGTTTACAATTACACAAATTTCCAGCCATTTGTGGTTTTAATTTCAACAAATTTTATGCTGCCAAAGAAACTGGAAAAGCAAACACAAACTTTTAGACATATACAACAAATAAAAATGGAAATTTATGCCATTACCTATTGCGGTGTTCATAAAAAAAAAAAGACAGCAGCCAGCCGACCACAAAACACGCATGAAATTCTATGTGACCCCAAAAAACTTGGCCATTTTCCCAATGGGGCAACATTCCCCTTTTTAGATGTAAATATGCAGGCGGCTTTTTTTGTGCTTGCCGGACTGACTGACCAACCAGCATACAATGTAGATTTTTATGTGCGTAGAGACAGGCCATTAAAATGCCATAAATTTTGAGCTCTCCTACAAATCCCCTACGAGCAGTACAAAAGCGGCATAAAAAGCGACAGGCAAACTAAACCGCTTCAAATTGCACAAAAATATGCTAAAATTGTTGGACATAGAAACGAAGGACATATACATAATAAAAAAAAGGGCGAGGGATAACCGCAAAGTCAAGTCTTTGGGCTCTGGATTATTTTTTATTTTATTTGTATGCCGATATATTCTTTTTTTTTTTGACATGCCTAACCGACGGCTTAGGTCTGTGGCTTAACCCAAATTAATAAAAATTTGGCAACATCAAGTGGATTTGAGCATATGTTGGAAACTTTGCTAATATCCACCCATAAATGAACCTTTTAGCTGGAAGTTTATTAGGTTCGGGTTACTACTTATGTAAATTTGTTTCTGCGGCAAAACTAAACTGGCTTAAAAGGGTCTGACTAGCAACTTGCCAGTGAAATTAGAAAACTTGCTAAATAATTCAGTTTAGTTGGGGCTGTCAGACCGCAGTAGCAGTCGAACAGAAACCTTTTAGGCCACACTCTCTGAGTATGAGTTAAATAAACCATTTCCATTCTCAATCTGTTTTTTCCTTCAGACCACGGAACACTGTAAGCCGGATGAGCACTGCATACCGAATGTCCTGACATGGCGTGGTGAGGCGGAAATCCAGTCTGGCGACATTTTAATTGTGGAAATCAATGATGCCATGTTAAATCCATCGCATGAGCCCAACAACACAAGCAGGTGAGTGTGCAGGTTCATTGGCATGTTATATTACGAGATTTATTGTAAGGGAGAATAAAAAATGCGGAAATAACTACTTTTCAAAATCACTTTTTAGTGATTTCAGTTTAAATGAATACAAAAAATAAATCAGAAGTTGCTGACATCTGTCCACAGCAAACTTTTAGTTTAATCCTGTTGACAGTGATTTGTTTTTAAATGCTAAAAATTCAATTCATGATTGATCATGAATTTTTTTTTTTTTTAACAGTTGATATTTATTTAGAATTACTGCTACTATACTGCTACCTATGTGGCAGCTTGAGGAGGTTTTAAATATAGGGGATAACAAAGTGTTGGTATAAAGGTTACAATACAAATACAATATTTATATTCATTAACTGCTTAAATTACATTAAATTACATCAGACTTCGAAGGTGTTACATAAATCTTAATGGGAGATCGTGTGGGTGGTATCTTTTGAGTCTTCTCCTTCTTGGTCTCCAAATTAGCCTCTTCGCCAGAGAGTTAGAATGAATGCAAAGGCGTCTGAAGTAGTTTTCAGCATGCGTTCGACAAACATCGCCTATCTTTGGGATTTGTAGATCTCTTTCTATGTCTCTGGTTCTCATGTACCATGGAGCATATTTCCAGATTGGACTGATAATCGATTTGTAAATTCGTACTTTGTTGGACAAAGAAAGCTTATTTCTTGCCGTGAGTAGCCAGGACATACTTGCTGCCCTTGAAAGCACTGACTGCTTCACCATTGTTGTGTGCCTCTGGAAGGTGAGCCCTCTATCCAAAATCACACCAAGGTACTCATAGATTTTTTATAGAATATATATCACAATCTTCTTGGAAGTCTTACTAAAATACTAACTAACTTAAATGTTAAGTAAAATTCAGATAGACTTTATTAATCCAAATTACCTTTAGCTCGTATATTTTAAGGTTAGCTTATGTAGCAGAAAGCTAACTAGATGTTAAAATTTATTGCAAAATATATTAAAACATTTTCACACATTAAATACATATTTTTTCTACAAACCAAAAGCACTTTCTGTTATACAAAAAACTCAACAGTATCAATTTACTTCAGATAAGAGATCCAATTACATAATCTCTATGTTTTTTTGCCATCATTACTTGTTGAAAGCGTTGCTAGCGAAACGAAGTTAACCCAGCTTAGACTGCTGGCAGTGATGTATGCAGTTGATCAAAGCTAGTGACTTGGGGTCCCGGGAAAAAAACTGTCATTATGTCCCATCAGCAACATCATCAACAGTAGCAACAGCAACAGCTATAGCACGGCAGCAACAGCAACTGCTGCCTCATCATTGAGCTCATCATGTAGCCACCCTTTCGCCAGACACCTGAGCTCCATGCCAGAAGAAAAACCGGGGGGGAAACCTCTAAACTCGTCATAGAAAAAATATAAAAATCACTCCTTTATTTTTACACCTAGTTGGCAGCAGGTTGGCTGGGCGTTGGTTGAGATACTTTTTTTGTTTTTATTTTCAGTTAAGCGCTTTAATGCTCAGTGAAACGTGTTTGTTCGGGGGCTTATTATATAATAACGTCCATTAAGGACCTTTATTGATTTTTCTTCAGCACGTCTGCCCGAAGAGTGCGTATAGTAGGGGACAACAGAGGAAATAGTTACTGGTCTCAGACACGTTCGGCCATTATCATGCCCTTTTTACAGTTTATTAAATTGTTTTCTCTTACTCCGAAGTCTTACTCGCATTTCTGGCCATCTCCTTTTTTGTTTTTATTTCTGTTCACAAATTTTTATTTCGGGTTTGTTTATTTTATAATACCAGACAAAAATCCCCCTAACAAACTGTGCATATAAATGCGATGTCAGGCAGTCTTCCAAGCACGGGAAAATATACATTTTTATAGTCATTTTTCATCTGTTAACTAAACATTATGCTTATATATGTACTTGCAGAAAAAGTTGATTGTTAACTAATTACAAAATAAAGATAAAAGTCTTAATCAAAATATCTTAAAATGAGCTTTAAAGATTTTGTAAAGTTTTTCATTTTCTTCTCTATGATTTATATCTTTTATAAAATCCTACAAAATTTATGCAAATGTGTTTGCAATATTTTTATCTACGTGTAGTCCTAGTTGTTGACCATTAGTCATTGGGCTGGACGTACACACACCACAGCTGGCTGACCCTTTTTGCCATGGCAATTATCACGTTTCTCTCTCGGTTTTTGCTATCAATTTTTACCCGCCCCCCGGCTGCTGGCCACATTTTTTGCTCTTTTTAATTTAGCTCGGTGGCTGGCTGGTTCTTATCTTATCGCTTGATAGATGCCGCCGCCGCCACCCATCACAAAGTTTTTCACCCCGAAAAAGAAGCGCAAGAAAAATTAAAATTCATTTGTCGAACTTTGGGCCAGACATCAAACGCGACCGCGTTGGAAATTTTACGCTTTTCCTTCTCCCTCTCTCTCTCTCTCTCTCTTTTTCTCTTATATATATTTTTTTTTTCGTATTCAGCTTGAGGCTGTGGAAACTCGAAATGCCTGGCATAAGTTCCGATTTGGTAACTTTGCTTGAGGGCAAAATAAGACCGCAAACAATCGAGTTAGTTGAGGAGTGAAAGTGATGCCAAGTATAGCGCACAATTGAGCGCAGGGCCCGCAGAGAAAACTTCCCGCCAACTATGAAAATGAGATGTCAAAAAAGTTTTTATTATCGATTTAATATGTGTATATGTGTGGGTGCGCGTATCCCGGCCAAGTTAACAAATGCAATAGCAACAAATAATAATGCCAGGGCGAAAGAAAAGCCAAGGAAAAACGAGTGGGTAGCAAATAGATTGGCAATGCTGGAGGTAGTGAAAACTTTCTGGGCTCGCAGTTTTCTAACAAGTTTTTCTTTTTTTCTTCCCCCTTTTCCTGACTCGACTACGTGTTGTTGAAAAATTGCAAACTTGGATACTATATGAGGTGTCTCCCCCTGTTTGTGTCTATGTTTTTGGGTCTAAGGGAAGGTACAGAAGAGGATTCATAGGAGAAGCACACAAGATGGCTTCGAAAGAACCGAAGTGGAAACTTGTCAACCTCTGTTTAGTTTTTTCATGAAATTGTTTAAAGAAATTTAAGTATTTTAGAGCCGAAATTGGTATACTTAAACTTGATCTACATAAATCAAAATAAACATAAAAAGAAGGACATTTATCTCTGTCCGCAAACTTGTTATTTGCACAATCATAAAATCTTAAATTTAAACTGCTCATTAATCATAAATAACTCTAAATTAGTAATCACTGCTATTTCTAATATGAAATATATTGCTAAGCAATTAATATTAAACGCAAATAGTTTATACTTTTATTTATCTTAAAGATAAACTCATTTAAATGGAGTTTCGTTTCTTTTCTAAGTCACTGATATATGATAGATAGGTGTTATATTAATCAACCTCGATGTCTTCAATTTGCACTCCATTAGTACTAAAAGAAACTCCCACAAAAAGCCACCGCAATAACCGCCTGGCAACAGTGAAATCATAAAGAAAGAAAAACCTCGGGCTCTAGGAATCCTTAGATTAAACCCTTTTTCCGAGTCTGCCGCCCTACACCGACTAATTTCATTTCCGTTTTTGTGCTATTTAATTTCCGCTAGAACAAGGCAACCGAGAGGGCAACTGCTTATAAATAAATTTCAATTAATTAAGCACACACATACAGAAGCAAAAGAAGAACTAAAGCCGAGTTCCTTCTGCTGACGTCTTCGGTCATATTTATAACTTAAACAAGCAAACATAAGCCGTTTAACTTGGCTGAAAGCTGCCTGCCTGCCTGCTTGCCGGCCTGCCTTACCAACCCAAACTCATTCTATATATATCTATGTATATTTTTCCCGGTTCTCATTCTCACCTGGATTCTGGCCCAATAAACGTCAACGTACAGCGCGGTACATGCCACACAGGTGTATCAGGTAACTCGTTCCGGCCACGAACACTGCGATGTTACCGAGGGCGTCCTGTTGGATATCACGCCGCTGGTGGTCGATGGCAGGAAGCTGGTTACACTGTACGATAAGGACCTCACCGAGGGAGTTAACTTGCTAATTGGTAAGTAGAAGCGAAGACCTCAAACACTTACTACTTGCGGGCTGTACTAATTTTGTGGCAGCGGAAATTTAGTTAGCTTGCCGATGAAGAAGGAGTCCTAATTAGATCATTCCGTTGTGTGTTTATTGGAATATTTAAGTTGCATTATGTTGGATGTATTGTTTTGCTTACAAACTATGATTTTTGGTAGTAAAATTTAATGTTTAGTTTGCCAGTTTTAAGTTTGTATCTTAAATTAGACCTTTCTATTCAAAAATTCAGTTAATTCCTATGAAACGACCTTTTCTTGTCCATTTTCTTACCCTTTTAACATTTTCCTTGCCTAACTTGCCCAACTAAATATTCTTCTAAAACATTCCCCTAAGAGCTATCACCACCTCTTGATAGCCTTCTCAGTGGCCCAGCTAGGGTATTCCATCTTCATCTAGCATTGGTATCAGTGCCATCTCCTGTCAGAGGAACCGCCTTGGGGGGCAATTTCTTTCCCTGTTTGGGTGTTCCCTTTTGGCCTATTAAATACATTTTTTTGTTCATCTTTTCCCAGGAGCCTTCGTGTAGCCTTAATTAATATGAAACTCTTTTTTTTTTCCTTTCGCTCTGCCCACCAGTGGTGTCCGAGCTGTGGGGAGCACAGTGTGTGCGCCTAAAGGTGACCACGAAAACCGACAATTGTGGCGAGAACGCCGATTGTTCCGGCAAGGGAGTATGCTACTCGAATTCTGGAATGGAGGAGTATGAATGCCAGTGCTGCAGTGGATTCGCTGGACCGCATTGCGAGGAGATAGATGCCTGCAATCCGAGTCCCTGCACCAACAACGGCATCTGTGTGGACTTGTCGCAGGGTCACGAGGGCAACTCGTATCAGTGTTTGTGTCCTTATGGTAGGTCATTAGCTTAGAGAGAGCCTCATTAGTGGTGGTGGTCCAGCACGATAACGCTATTAATAATCATCCATCCCACTTTGTCTTCGCAGGATATGCGGGCAAGAACTGTCAATACGAGTCGGATCCCTGCAATCCCGCCGAGTGCATGAACGGCGGCAGCTGTGCTGGTAACTCCACGCACTTTCGGTGAGTCAAAGGCAAACAAAAGAACAAAAGGCGGGCAGAAATGGTTGAAAGATGAGGGGATTAGGTGCACTGTGAGGAAATAATAGTAGGTTTGTAAAAAATAGCTTTAATACTTTTAGCTTTTTGAATCACTTATGCTGCTCAATGGGCTTAGAAACTTACACTTTCTGATTGGGATATATTTTTAAATGAATTTTTAAGAGATATTATATAAAAAGATTTTGAGATTCTAAAACATTCTAAGAATATGATTTAAATGAATTAATTCTAAAGGGATTTCCGCTTAATCTAGGAACTTTCTGAGACTACAAACATAATTTTCTCAGCCCTAAGCTATCTTAACTACCCTAGCATTGCAATGACATTTGTTTCAAGTGCAGAGTACACATTCAGAGAGAGCCAAAGGAGCACCAACAGCAGCAGCTTTCATTCAATTATCCTGGCCATTGTTTTGCGGTTCTGTCTAGCCGTCGCCGTCTGTGTTTGCTCATAAATGTTGACTTTTGTCGCATGTTCAAAAATTCCCCTCAGTTTCACCATTTCTCTCTACCGTTTCTGTGTTTCGTATTTGGCTTTTTTGTTGAACTCCCTTGCCGTGTATAAAACCCCCTTTTTCGACCTCCCCCCCCTTGCAGTTGCGATTGTGCGCCCGGGTTCACGGGACCTCTGTGCCAGCACAGTCTGAACGAATGCGAGTCGTCGCCGTGTGTTCACGGCATCTGCGTCGACCAGGAGGACGGTTTCCGTTGCTTCTGTCAGCCAGGTGAGTAAATGCAGCCAACAGTTTTTCAGCCAAATAAACGCAAATTGCCTTCATTCTTCTGTTGATTCACTGGCGAAATCGTTCCCATAATGCCAATATTTTGTGAGTTATCATCGTGGAAATTTCACACAATGATTGTTGGCTTTAGCTGGCTCTATTATATATTGAATTTTTGGCTTTTCTAGTGGAAAGGGCAATTGGGCTTTTTGCCAGAGATGTTTTGAAAAGCAAATTATGATAGAGGAAACCTTTTGTTTTTCGAAACTGTATGCTGATTGTTTCTAAATTTAGTTCAGTGAAGTTACTCCAAAAATCTACCTACTTTAAGGCAATCAAATTTCGCTTTTTCAATTGAATTGAAATCAGCGCAAATCAAAAAATCTACATCGGAGCTCATAAATTATTTCATTGGCACAAACACAATTTGCATAAATCGCACTCAATCACAATGAAAGTAAATGTATGAAAAAAAATAATGTCTGAGACAGAGACGAGGGCAATTCCGGGAAAGTCGAGACAGCAGCGTCTCCGTTGCAGACTTTCGTCCGCCAGCCAAAGCATTTCCCATTTCCCATTGAAATTTCCATTTCATTTACTTTGCACATTTACATTACCCGCAACCTTTTGAACCCCTTCCTCTTACTCATTTCTTTTTTGTCTTTTTGGGTGGAATCTACTGCAGGATTCGCCGGGGAGCTGTGCAACTTCGAGTATAATGAATGCGAATCGAATCCGTGTCAGAATGGCGGCGAGTGCATCGATCACATTGGCAGCTACGAGTGCCGCTGCACGAAGGGCTACAGCGGCAACCGTTGCCAAATTAAGGTGAGTGAACAATGCCAAGTAAATATAAAAAGGACTTGATCTGGTCGCTGGATGAAGTACCCTATAAAATAAGGTAAAAAATGGTAGAAAAATGTGTTTAAAAGCAAGGCATACCTTCTCAGAATTTTAGTCATTTCAAACTAAATACTACAATTTATTATAGTTACATCTTCTTTTAGTACTTTTTAAAATAATATATTCTAATAGATAAAAATGAGTTGGAAAGAAGAGTCCTACCTTAAAATCTTAATTTCAATGAAGCACTCAAAAGTAGGCAACAATTTTATTCAAGACTTCCTATAATTCTAGGAATTAGGTCACAGAGCTCCTTAAGAAAACTTCATGGCACTCAAACCTCATTTAAAAATCGATTAAATTTGTCATTTATCTAAAACAAAACACTTTATGCCTTGACTAAACCAAAATCAGAGAACTGTAAAAACATGACTTGTAAATCTCCAAAGGAAAAGGAGCCCCAAGAGTGCCCATTAGTTGATTCTAGCTCCCCAGGATAATCAATATTTTGTATTGAAAACAAATCCCGCGACAATTCCCCGATGAGAAAGTCTAAGGACTCCAGCCAGCCAGCCAGCCCGGCAGTTGTCTGTGGAAGTTGAATGGATATTGATTTAATTTGCTCAGACCGAGAATCGCGAACTCCCCCACACAAGCATAGGAAATGGAATTGTGAAATGTGTGAGAGGGGAGTGTAGTATCCTTCGGATACATTCAGATACGATGCTGGGCAAATACATTTTTGAATACGTAATGAAGTTTCAGCTTCGAACCGTTACTATACCAAACTCACAGCCACAATATGCTTTGATTTGTGCCCGTTTTTCTGTTTGCTTTCTCTCTAGGTTGATTTCTGCGCCAACAAGCCTTGCCCCGAAGGACATCGCTGTATTGATCATGGAAATGATTTCAGCTGCGAATGCCCAGGAGGTCGCAACGGACCGGATTGTAATCAAATGCCACGAACGGTAAGTCATGATTTATGCAGTTTTTGCTTTGCTTTCGCTTGGGTTTTCCTTTTTCGGGCAACACTCGGGCCAAAAATTCCAGCAGACCCCATATATAGCCACAAATTGTTCGCAGTAGGAGTAGTGGCATAATTGTAGCCAATTTTGCTAGCACAATTGCATACACAATTGTTTGTGTGCGGCGGCTGTTGTGCATTTTAAAAACTGATTTACGACTTCGGCTTGTCGGTTTCTAATGAATTGTCCGTATGCTGGCTGGAAATTGATATTCTGTGTAGAAGTTTTCCGCTTGTTTGCTCTTTCAAATCAATTTCTATTCAAGCCAAACTTAGTTCATAAATTGAGTTAGCCACGCTGTTGGTGGTACTTGCCAGTGTGGGTGAACTAACTCAAAAATAATTTAATAAACGCTCAATGGACTTGATAATTTGTGGTGCTAAAATAAAACTTAACAAAATGTACATAAATTAAGCGCCCAGGCGCCATAATTAAAGCTTTGTGAAAATGATGGACACGCTGACTAACCGCGACTGCTCCAAGGACCCAAGCATCCACAGAACACTGTCATTATAAGGGGATGGTGGCAAGAGGGGGCGTGCCAGGGGCAGACCGCGGCTGGAAATTGTGGCTGCCAGTAGCTGGTGGCTCCTGTTGGGGAAGGCAGCAAAATTAATTACATTCTACATGCCAGGCACACACACACACAGACACACACTAACAAACAGTAAGCGGAAGAATGGTGGCAGCTTCTCCATTCTAATTGTTAGTTGGGTGTGGCTAGATGATAGCAGGATCCGTGAGGGCAAATATATAATACAAAAATTGTTGTTCGCAGTTTTGGGCGCACATAAGTATGCTATAAAAATAATACTTGGGAGATTAAGAAGGAGAATCGCTCTTAAAATTTATAAGGACATGGTTTTTATCCGTTTTAAGTTAGAAATTTACTGAAAAATTTATTAAAAATTAAAAAATAAATTGTATCATTTAAAAATAATTATGTTTAGTCACAAAAACTGATTAAAATTTCCTGTTTTAAGAGTATATTTATTATGGGCAATACCTATCCCAATAACTCTACTCCACTGCACTATCCACCTCCAATGCATTAATAACTTTCAGTACTTTCAGCAATGCAACATGAATCCCTGCACCCATGGCGGCACTTGTTGGTCCAGCGGCGAGAGTTTTTACTGCGCCTGTCGACCCGGATACACGGGAAACATGTGCGAAGGTGAGTTAGCCCGTAGCTGGGTTCCGGTACCCAAAAGTCATTAACTTGATTAGGGCCATCAGCGTTTGGCCCGCAGAAAATATGTTTCCCACGGCGGCTATCTAACTTGTTTTTTTTCCCCCTCCTACTTTTCCGGCCTGCCCGTAGATGAGTTTGTGGTGGAGACGGTCGTTAGTTCCAGCGAATTTATTGTGGACGATGCGAACGCTAGAAATTTTAATGACAAAACTTTCGGTTCATCGGTTGTGCTTAAGAGTCCCATTGAATTGCATAATGCATATTTTGCGGCCGGAGTCCTGGCAGCCGCCATTTTCATCGTTGCCGTTGTGGTAAGTTACCCCCACCCCTCATACACCACCACTGAATCCCACCGAATCCGCATCCCGCTCCGAAAAATCCCGTAGACTACTCCCATGACCGACCGTAGGAAATTGTACTCTGCGGTTATGCAAAGTGCGCGAAGTGGCATTGCATATTCATTTCGATGTCGGCAAAATGGTTCGAGCTGCAATGGTTGAGGCTTTAACCAAAAGTTGCCCAATCGCCATGGAGCACAGACCCGAAGCTTAAAGCAGATGCAAATTTATACAATTGGTGTCCGTTCACAATGTGTGCTCCTTCAAGTGGACAACGGAGTCCATGCCAATTTATTGGAAGCCGAAAGCGATTCAGTTTCGGCTCCCTTGCTAAATTAATGCAAACTTATAAAGTCTGTATTGGACAGGTTAATGTCGAAAGTTTAAGTTGGCTTATTTAGGGAGTAAAGTTTGGCCATTTCTTTTGGGCTGTGGAGTGGTAGAGAGAGTTGGCATAATAAAGGCTAATTATTATTGTAGTGAGTTATGATTTAATGAGTAAACTGTAGTTGTTAAAACCTTTAAAGTCAATGGCTTAAATTCAATTTATAGTTTTTAGAATCTGAAACGTAAGCTCTACCTTTTTTAGCCAAAAAACCTTTTTTTGGCCACTAGCACTCTGTGGTCCACTTCCACTTTCATTACCATTACGATGCAATCCATAACCATTTACCTAACTTTTCGTGTCCACATTTCTCTTCGTTGCAGGTCACCATTTGTCACTGCAAGGTCAATCAGACGTATCGGAAATTCTCGACACGTTCCACCTCGTTTATACCCATACTGGGCTTTAGTCGTCGCCCCAAAATGCAGGGCAAACTCAACAAACATTGGCTGAGCGGCAAAGGGGCAGCCACTGCGACTAGCAGTACCAATAATGTGGCGCCACCGGGTGGCCCAAGGGTCGGGGCGCAACAACAGCAGCAGCAGCAGCAGCAGGGAACACGGCATTTGCCAGGACAACCACAGACGCAGACCACGCTGGGTGGCCAGTTGCAGGAACGACCTTTCCAACGGCATCTGGCCATGAATCTGGAGAACGATATGTACTACACGGTGGACTTTAGCGAGAATTCACAGCACTCGCCGTTGATACAGTGAGACTTGGATAGCACTGGCAGCGGCAGTGGCAGTGGCGGATGGTTAGTCAAATTCACCCCAAACAAGGAGGAGTGATTGGGTTAAGAAGAAAACATTAGGGTTGGGTTCAGGGGTGATTGTGTAATTATCTTTGATGCTACTCGTTGAATATTCCAAATATTGAACAGTATTCGATAATAATAAACTAAAGAGAGGTGTGTGTGAATTAACTTAATGATTATGATTATGATTCTAATTCTGATTCTGGCTAATGCAAACACAAATATATGTATGTATGGTTAATACATGTATCTCTGGCATAAATAGGCTTAGCAAACTTGTTTACCAAGGTTTATTTTGGCTAAGCACACATACAAGATACACACACACACAGAAAGGATAATGTTTAATTATAAAATAGAATGAAAGGAAGGTAGATCATCTGGTATTATGTAAATGTTTAAGAGGCCTAAGTTTATGATGTATGAATTTTGCAGAAATTTCCAAGGAAACCTTAATTGGTGTTGGATTTCCCATGTAAAATCGTTACATGTTCTGGTCAGAAGTAGCAGATATGACTGACTCTATCTTGTGGCCATAAAATATTCACAAAATTTATTATGCAAATGGCTTTAAACTCAACTTTATAGGTGTTCATTTGCATATGGACATTTCAAAGAGATTAAATGGAAAAGGTTTTCCTGTAATTTGAGTTGTCCTTGGAAAATTCAAAATTTTCAAACTTGCAGCTTCAAAGAGTGAGTCAAACTAATTATGTTGGCCAGTTCAAATATATATACACGAATATGGAACTCTAATGAGCAACAGAAAATAGAATTTGATAGCATTTAATAAAGCTTGGCTCTCACCGCATTTTCATTGGCAAATGTTTGCAATTAGTTAAATAATAATAAAGCGAAAACGGAATTCAATTGTGTGCGTTGCCTTGCCGATGAAATCAATTTTGCCTCGAATGTGTCGCAAATATTGGAATTATATAAACTAATTTCAGAAATTTCTGTTTAGTTTAGTTTTAATTAATTTTGCCTTACCAATGAATTGTGTTTTGAGTGGGAATGAGAGGGGGTGATTTAAATTGAATTTGGTCAGGGCAGATATCAGAGATTATTGCTGCTGCAGCTGCCCCCAATGTCTGACCGCAGTTGAGAGTTGTTAGTTGTTAGTGAAAAATAATTAGCATAAATTAAAATTGTAGCCACAAAAGTTAATATGTTTTTTGTGCATAAATAATATTTATTTTGAAATTATTTCGGTAAATGAACGTGTGGCGGTGTGTGTGTCCCCGTGTGCTGGCCACATTTAGCATATTGCTGTTGAAATGTAAACATAAAATGCTGATCAAATTGCCAAAAAAAGGTCGGCACATAAGTTCAGCTCAAAGGCGATTCAAATCAAATGAAAAACCAAAAGAAAACAAAAAAACAGAAAACGTAAGTGAAGTAAATTGAGACTTGAGGCATTCATTTTTGCATCAATAATAGATTTTCGTGCAATTTGATATGCAGAGAAAAATGAGATTGTAATTAAAGCGCTATATTAAGTAATTAATAACGATAAACTGATGCAAACCAAAACGAAATGAAAAACAAATAATATTTAAAATTAATGACAAGCCTTAGCCTAAGGAGAAAGACAAACACACAAACACAGACACAGAGAGAGCAAAGCCAATAAAAGTAATGTAATGAGAGTAAAAAACAAAAATAAAAATAATAACAATTTAACCTATGGCAAGACACTTGGCGTTTTGGGCAATTACAATTTAATTTTTAAGCCAATCAGCAAAATAAAGTGGAAAATCCATCGAAGCATGAAAAGGTTTGAATTCAATTTTGAATGGCTAAATGGAAATGGAAAACAATTACCATTGAAATTTCATTTGTTATTTGTTTTTTTTTTGCGTTTTCATCAACAACAATTTTTGGTTTATTCAGTTTTTCGGAGGTTTTTGCATAATTTATACATAGACATATACATTTATATAACATAACACACACATGTACAACTAAACAATAGTTTTTCGTTTATCAATTTCATTTCTCTCTCTCTCTCTCTGCTTCTTGCTTTTGGTTTATTAATATCACTCATACGCCACGTATGGCAGGTCAGAGAATTCATTCTGGCAGTCCATCAAGTGGCATCGGATTTTTCATCATTCTTCTGGTGCTGTTGCTGCTTTGGACTTTTCCCATTGCCATTTGCTTGTGACTGTTAGTGGCTGTTCCGCCTTCTCAACCTCACCCACGTTGACGGTGGTCTTCGAGGCATGCAACTCCGTCTCCTCGGGAATGACCTTACGACCTTCCTGGTCCTAGGAGAGTTTCGAAATATAAAGATAATACAATAAATCATATCAATATCAATTTGGAAGATAAAGGACTTGCTTAAGACATGCCAAATCCTAGATAAATGGGGTAACTACTGAAAAAAAGTCATGCTTAGTAAAGGAAAACTTCCACAAACAAAGTTTTTTACTATCATTTTTAAATTAAAGAAATAATATAAAAATAAATTTCAGATTTATTTCCTCTAGAGTTGTATTTTAAATAAGTTTTTCTTATATTTTTTATCCCAAAAGTGTACACTTTTAATCATGTTTACAAAAATTCATTTAAAAATCTCAACAACTGCTTCCAAAAAAACTGCATTAAAGTTGCACTCTAATTGCTCTAGTTAAAAAGAATACACAGCCATGCACTTCCAACCACTTACTTTATTTTTCGCACACATGCAATTGGCAATTAAAAAGGTAAAGTCCATGCAAAAACCAATTCTATAACGAGCATAAAAATTAACCAACCGATTTCCAAGCATGATAAACGCCCAAAAAAAAAAAAAAAACGAAATGAAAAACTAAAAACTGGATAAAAACTATACCGAACTGCGGCCGCCATCATGTTGTGCAGTGTAAAGTGCTATTTACAATTTACTCACTCAACTTGCTTTTTGGGTTTTTCCCTTTGCATTTTCCATGGATTTTCATGCACATGCGGGCAAGTATAATCAACATGCATGCTAATTTGAGTTTGAACATGAAATTTAAGTGGCCGATAAATTATATTTAATGGAGTTGTAGTTCGATGATTCGAAGGGGGTTCTGCTTGTATGGATGGATCACCCCCCTCCTAGCCACATAATGAACGTGTTTGCTGTCTGGTTGGAAAATTATGGTTTCCATTTTGAGAAACCCATGAAAAGCTAGCTAATTAAAAAGGAAACAAGGAAGTTGTGGCTTTTGCAATTATTCAATGAAGATGAAGTAGATTTGATTTGGTTGTTTCTTAAGTTTTTATAACTTAAATGGTAAACTTAAGGACTTTAAATTTGATTTTTATTTTCGTTTTTTCCTAAAACTACTTTCAGCTTGTTTAAATTATTCCCTAAATACATCTTTGGGGTGCATTTTTAGTGGGATATACCATTTTTATGGTCCTTATGTCCCCCCATTCGAATTTCAAATGATGTTTTCATTTTTCCCCTACTCAATTCTCGATTCCATAAGCATTCCGGCTGAGTTCGCTTCGCATATGCACGAATAAACGAATAAACTGCAGCAGTTGCAGCGATGTTGTTTGGACTTTTTCTTTTCCTTTTCATTTTCATTTATATTTCTTTTTTTTTTTTTTTTTTGGTTTATTGTCGAAAGGCATTTCCGCGTCATCAAACTTTTTGGATAATTCGCCATGCATTGAACGTAGTTTGCTCGTTGTTTGGCTTTTTATTAAAAAAGTGTTTGGCATGGCTGTGTGTGTGTGTTTGGTGCTGGAGGTGGGCGGAAAATGCACCGGCCTTGCAGTTGAATGCACAAAAGTTTTGCCAGCAAAACTCACGCACACACCAGTAAGTGCACCTCTGTATAGAAATGCGCATCTTAAGTGCCGTGTGTGGTGAAGAGCGAGAGGAAAACTCAAAGGAAAATGTTGGGCAAAATAAAAGGATGCATGGACAGAAAGTTTGTAAAAATATGAACTTATTTTTGTTATTTGAAGTTTTTTTTTAGACTGAAGTAGTTGTTATATTTTTAGTATAATAACTATTATAAAACTGAATAAGTTTTCGAATATTTTAACATATTTTATAATTATTCCTGCTTTTTCAGGCTTTTTTTTCTCTCTGCACCTAGAGAAAGAGGGACAAGAATTTCTATAATGTTCCTATTCAGTTCATTTTGCGAAGCTTTTGTTTCATTCCTTTGTTTGGCTTCGAGTTGGTCCTTCCCTACATATATATACATTTTTTACACTCCCCTTTCAGGCCACCCACTCTTCCCCTTCCCTACTTCCCTTTGAAGGCTCTTACAATGGGCATTACTTACGCGCAATTTCGCGTTCACTTTTTGTGCGTTATGCCGAAGAAGTTATTGGCACCGACGGACTGGCTACGTACGTATATAGCGCCCCTATAAAGACGTTTCTGGCCAAAATCAACAATGACAAATGTTGCCAACAGCACCGAATTACGTGGCATTCATTCTGCGATCATTGCCATAAATATTTCTATTTTTTCGCTGCATTCCTTGCTCTCTCACACATCGATAAATCGCTTTCATAGAAAACGAAATAAAAATAATGCTGGTGAGGAAAAAAATAAAAGCAAAGGAAAAAGTCTTTCTCTGTGTATGTTTGTGTGTGTGTGAACGAAAATGGGATTTTTCCTAGCTACAAAGCAGTAGGAAGGGAGAGCAAACCGGAAATCGTTGAAGGAAGTGGAAACATACACACATGTTCATACATACACATGTGCTAAAAACACACACACAAACACACAGAGACGTGCCTTGGCAATGCTAAAATATTGAGCATTCGATTGGGATTCCTCTCATTCAAAGTTCTTTTGCCAAGAACCGTGGTAAAAGTCGGCGGGTTACTTATTTAAATTTTAAAATTTGTCGGAAAATTAAAACTAACGTCTTAGAATTTATCAAATAGTTTTGGTTTTTGGGCATTCAAATCTGATTTAAATTTAAAATCTTTTCAATTTTGGTGATTTAAACATGTTTTTTAATGATTTTTAATTTTTTCTATTTAAGTATTTTTGTATCTATTTTATTACCAAAATTTTAAATTTTTATTTTCTTTTTTCATTTTAAAATTTTCTTTCTTATATTTTTCAATCTTCCCTCATATTTTCCCTACCACTGTCGATTGAAAAGTTTGAAATCATTTGCCACATTCGAACAGACGTTGCCTTTGCTTCGACTTGTTTGTTTATTCCATGGCATTGTTGTTCTTTTCCACTCCCCCACCCCAATCACCTGCCACCCTAAGAGCCCTCCCACATTCATCACCACCCCCTCCCGGCGTTGCCACACGAAAAAAAAAACAAACATTGTTGCTTTTTTGCAACAGCTGCCATTGTTATTCCTTTTTGTCAACTTGTATTAAGTTCAACAACAAATCATTTGGCGTAAAACGTAAACAAAATCAAAGCGCATGGAAAAAAGCATAGAACAATAGGAAAAAGAGGGACATTTTTCAAGCTGAGCATAGAAAACTTTAAAGGAGAGCCAAAACAAAAAACAAATGCCAAATGGGATGTGAAGTGATGTGAGGAGCCAAGCTCAAATTGCTCGACGAGTGTGCAAAATTAAACTAAACTCAACTAAGCGTTCAGCAAGGAAGAACTCAACGCGTTGGCTTTAGGGGGTTAAGGGGGTTGAGCTTGTGGGTTATGCACATAAAAACAAGTGATGCCCGAAAGTCAAATGGCGCAAGTGCGGGCTTTAATTCAACGAAATAACTTAATGCCCGGATGGCTTGGCAAACTGCGACGCCAGAACCACCACGTACAGCCCCGACTCCTTACCAGTCAGGCTGCCATTTTCCAAACCATCACAAAAAAAACAACCAACAAATACTGCAACGGCAATGGGAGTTGTACATGCCATTGCATTTTCCAGCAGACCTACACGTAGAGAAAAGAGTAGTACTAAAAGATATTAAACCCTATTAGCAGGGCTCCCAAATGTTAAGTTTATATTTTTTATCTATATATGAATGAAATGAAATATTAATAAGTATAATTTTCTCCCAGTGCAGTGGTGCAATATCTTGGCGAATGTTGCTGCTGCCTCAGTTGCCTCTGCCACTGCCATGGCCTCTGTTTATTCGCATTCAGTGCTGCATGCTTTCAGGCGCTTGCATCCCAGAACAAGCGATGCCACAAGGACCCAGGACATGCCATGCAGTAGCAGTTACATATGTTTGTGTGCCGAATTACCCTTTGCCAAGGGGTAGCATCGATTGGCCACAAATTATGGCCAATAACTTATGTTCAAAGAGGTAGTAAGTTATGGGTTTTTACGACAATCTTATAAATCTTTATAAAAAACAACTTTATGTCTAAAAAATATTTAAAAATTATCAAAATTAATATACATTTTAAAGACTTTTCAAGCTTTTATAAAAATATTTAAACTAATAATATTCCTCTTTGAAATAATTTACAAACAAAAGGTAATTCAGCATTCGAAACTGCTTTCATGCTTTCATTTTATTTTATTTTTGACTATTTTGGGATTTTACTTTTGGTTTTTTGTTTTTGGTTTCTTTTTGTTGGATTCTTGTACATTACCATTAACATGGAGCTGGGTATTACGGATAAATCCACAGCGGGTATTGAAGTTAACAAACCACTTGGATACTTTTTCATGCGGCTGGGAAAAAATGTTGATTCCACGCCCTGTTTGTATGCGAATGGCATTTTTGGCTATAGCATATATTATCCATACATATATATATATATAGTAAAAAGGGAGAGATGCACTCACACAGATACTCATACAGTACACACACACACCAACTTACTCACACATACAGATATCGAATAGAAAGCTCTCAGCTTTCTCTGGTTTTGGCAAATTTATTTTTCACAAAGCGAAGTTTTTGGTACTGGTTCGGGAACCTATAGTCGAACTGGCCAGCAATTTGCAACCAATGGGGCTTACACTGGGAGAAAATGGGGATCTTTTTGGTACCTGTTTTAGGTATCTATATTTGATTTATGATCTATATTATTTACTTGATTAAATAAGAAAGTTAAACAGTAAACTAAAATAAGATAAAGTATTATCAAAGCTTTAACATTCTGTAGCATTATATCTGTTTAAAAAATTATTTTAAAATTAAAATTTGATACTTTTTATTTGTGTAATAACTTTCCACTTCCAGCTGGGCTTGCTGCCCCTTTTAAAAAAAAAAGACTATAGGAAACTCTTGGCCTTCTAGGATACGGTTTTGTTATATTTTATTTCCTTCGCTTGCTCGGTGATGTGTGGAGGCAAAACTGTCAGCTTGGTCTGTTTCTCATCGGAATGTTTTTGCAAAAAAGGCGAAAGAGCAAATGCCAGGGGAAAACTTTGTCTTGTTCATAAATTCATTAATTTGTTGTGTGTTTTCCAACCCAGCCCACCCCTTTTCTTCATGTTTTTTTTGTTTTTGCTGCTGCAGCATTTGATTTATTGAATTATGGTTGCCTAGTTGCCATAAAAGCTTCGCCTCAAAGCATTGCAAATTAATTACGAAATTAACTTTGACAAGCGGCTTTGAGAGTGCATCTGGTTTTGGGCTGAGCAGGGCAAGAGAGGGTAAGAGGGGGGATAATCAATTGCCGGACATATACGTGTCCGTATCATCGGAAAGTTTTTAATTAAAGGATAGCTCTGAGGAAACTGTTTGCAATTGCAGGTTGCAGCTTGCCTGTACGAAGAGCAATAAATTATTAAAAATTTCTAAAGAGTTTGCCAAAAGGTATCTGAGAAGGAAAGTTTATATGGAAAGAGGGTTAAGGAAAATATGAAAATATAATTAATCAGCTTTTCTTAATTTTTGAACAACTTTAAATCGAAAAATAAGAGTTCCTGGAAAAATCCTTAAAGAGCTTATAAATTGACACCTTAGGTAACTTTTTATTTGTCCTTGACAACCTCCTTTGAAATTGTTTTTCAAATTTTTCCAACTTCATAATTGAAAAGTCTATTGTTTCATAATCGCCTCTTAAAAGTTGCATTCCAATTTGATTTTCACCTTAAAACCCCAAGCCAGTCTGGGGGGATTTTCGAAAGCCAAAGTCTCTGTTCGGAATTTAAATTGGCAAAAATTGTGGCCAGAGGCGAATATGCTTGCCTGGGTAACAAAAACCAATAAACTTGGCTCGAATTCGAGCTGCACGGCAGCAGGAATACAGGAGCAGGAGCATCAGAGGAACCAGAGAGAAATCGAATCCACTGGAGCGGCATCAAAAGAAACGACCGCTCGACAAAGGCAACCAAATGCCAAACACACAAAACAACCGCCTCTTCAATGTCCCGCTACCCATCCTAAATAGAGTTCACTGAGAGAAAGAATGTCAGCGTTTGAAATGGGTTGGCAAAAGTCTTGTTAGTTCTTAAATAAGTTTCAAAGTTTTTGTGTTATCCTAGAAAATAAATCAAAAATCTTTAAAACTATAACATTTCTAGAACTCTCTTTTGCTGGAAGATTTTTCCTTTAATACTCTCATTTTTCTAACTGCAGTTTGCACGAATCGAACCCGAGGCGGATGCAGTTGGCCCAAGCATCCGGTTGTCAAGGCAAAAACCAGAGACAGGATACAGCCGGGCACAAAGGACACGCGGCAGCATGCTAAAAAGTTATTGTGGCAACAGATGTTGGGTATTTAAAAACCGAAAAATACAACCGTGGAGAGAGGGTAAACCCACGCTGCCCGTCAAAGAAAAATAAACGAAAAATCAAAACAATTGACAGCAATCAGCGAAAGACTCACTCACACACACACAGGACGAAAAAAAGGGGACCTTTACAAAATTTGAACTTACCTCCAGGACCACACCCTCCAGGGCTGGCTGGGAAATGTTCTTCAGATTGCTGTGATTCAATTTCGGGGCACTGTCGGCCCGATTGCGACCCAATGATTGATTCGACGTCTTGTTATCGGCCTTGCTCAGCATCGAATTGTTCGAGGACTTGTGATTAATCTCCAATGCGGAGCGCAGGATATCCACTTTGGAGGCACTCCCAATGTTCCCGTGCCGCGGAACCCCTCTCAAGGACTCTACATTGTAGCTGCTGCGACGCACCGACAGATGGTCATGGATATCGGCCTGCAAGAATGGAAAAAAACAATTTAAAAAGCGCGCCTTGCAGAATCATTAACAAAGTTATCTCGGGCTTAAGGTCCGACAGGTGGACTTTGGATATTGGACATTGAAGTATGATTAAGAAAATGGAATAAACTCAATTAGCCATTAAAGAAAGTTTAAACTTTCAAATTAGTTTGCGCCCTTAACATATTTTGAAGAAGAACTTTAGTCTTTAAAGTTTCTTTAAGGAAGTTATAATACGAAACCTGAATATTTGAAGCTATAAACTCACCCTTGATCCCCTCGGCAGCGATGACAAACTACCAATCTGATTGTATTTAATCATCAAACTCAGCCGCTCCAAGGACATCGAAGTACCCTGCTCCTTTGTGGCCGGCTCTGTAAGCTTCTCCGTTTCCCCAGCCTCCACCGTCTCGACCTCTTCCTCGGACTCCTCTGTAGTATGATCGAATTTGCGCAGCCAAATCAGATGAAGTAGCCCATAGGCAATGCCACCGACCACAGCCAGCAGACCCATATACCGAAAGGCATCTCGAGTGCCAAACTGACCAATGAGGAGTCCTCCAGTGAAACTACCACTGCCGCGCCCTTAAATTGAAGACACACCAAATGTGATTACATAAAGGACGAGTGGCTCATTACGAAAGTACACAATGAGAAAAAGATAACTCAATGTTATATCGAAATGTATGTTAAGTTAAATAAAGAAGTTTAAGAAGAATTTCTTAGGGATAGCAATTTAAAATATTAATTTTTCAACCAAAATCATAATAAACTAAAATTGTTCCTTTCTGTACATCTTTCTACTTACCCAAACTAAAATGAGCCATGCCCAGAACACCAATCAACGTGGCCAGCAAACTTTTTGGGGCCAAAATCGAGCAGTATGTCGCCGCAGCCACCCACATAAGATGACAGGATAACGACTCCATGGCCTCGAACGGAAAACACCACCAGGCATTCCTATATCGAACGAGGGAAAGAGCCAAAAAAAGGGAATTCAATTTTGGAATTGCATTAGGCCGACATGTGACCGGCATTATTCGCACTCACTCGATGAAGGAGTAGCCCACCAAACGGCCGGCATGCGAGAAAAACGCGATGATAATCAAATTAACGTGGCCAAAGATCCGTGTGATTTTCTCGGCTCCGTAGAGGAATGGAATACTGCTAACGGTGCCCACGGTGATGGTGATGCCTGTCCAATAAAATCAGACATTAATGAAAGTAACATTAAACCAGGTCAAAGACACTCAGAAAAATTACCTAGCAAATAGTTTGGAGCACCAAGTTCTTTGAGATATAAAAACAGAAAACTCTCTATGAAACCCCAGAAATTTCCCAGCACGAAAAGGAAACATATAAAAGCAATAACATGAGGCATTTTCAGTAGATTCCAGAGATCACGGAACACATTATCAGCTGGCAGTTTCTCGCCAAGTGGCATCATTAGAACCGACATCGTGGATATAACCAACAGAACGTCATACGTATAGAATGCCGCTGAGTAATCCGTATAGCCCAGGCCCCTCGAAGAGTAATCAATCATAATGCCTGTTATCGGAGAGAATATGGCCATGCCGATGCTGGAGAACAAACGTTCACGTCCAAAATCGCCGCCATACTTCTCAATCATTGTCAGGGCAATCGGATCCATGATGGTTACACCGGCTGACAGCATCGTGGTGGCCAGAAATCTGAGGGAGATAGGGAAATAAATCAGTTCAGAGACGGACAATTGAAGGTGATATCAGAGATAATCAAGTTGTTTTTGTTACATAAGATTATTTTGTATACCTTTATCACTGTTTTAACTCTAAAAATCTAGGTCTAGGTTGCTTAACAAACATTGCTATAACCACTTTCTAGGGGACCAGTTCAACCCCAAACCCACCTCAGCAAGAAGTACACCCAGAAAATGATCTCATCGGTCTCCTTATAATCTGGTGGACAGATCTCCGGTGCATTCATAGTGAAAGTACAACGTTGCATCATGCATTGTACAGCTCCGGATCCCACATTTGTCATATTCGTGCGTCGAACCAAACCGCCACATCTTAAGTCCAGATCATCCATATCGGTGAGGTTAATGTTTCCCCTCACCAGATAGTTATGACCAAATCTTTGTAGGATATCGGTCACCGTCTCATTGGCATCCTGTTCGATTTCCATACCCAGCTGCTCTGTGGGATCAGCGAGATCGGGATGCATTTGTAGCATGAAGTAGGTGGCATCATCATTCTCAGAGTGAACCCAACTGGTCCAGGTTATGTTTTGTTGAATTTGGCTATTTGTTACTAAGAAGAAATACAAATTATTCCATTGTTAAGAGAAATAAATAATATAATAAACTATGAATTCTAATTATGAAAAGAATTTTAATTTTAATAGAAAATTTCAACTTCTTTCATCCATTTCAGCTACCAAATTATAATTGTTAGTCATTTCCTTTCACATTTTTCTCCGCTGTGTTCGAGTGAGTTTTTCACATAATCAGACAGGCAGGAAAATTGCTTTTGCACTTTTCCTGCACTTTTCTGCACACCCCAGAGGAGCAGAGTCTGATTGTGATTCTGATTCTGACTTCGGGTGGTGTCCTGTTGTGTCCTGGACCCTGATGTCCTGTCCTGGCCATGCATGACCAATTTCCAATTGTGCCAAGTGTCAAGTGTACAGCCGAGTGTAATGCCATCATGTTTAGTTAGTTATGCACTTTTGTCTGCTGCTTGTACTGCCCGAGCCCCCCCCCTACCAACCACTCTTTTTGTGTGAACTCCCACTTTGTGATTTCTGGGCAGGACATTACCAAAGTTTTGGACTCTTCGGAGTTTTGTTTAGGTGAAATGGTGCAAAGGTACAAGAGTTTTGCCAACATCTAATGTACATTTGAGTTATGAGTAACACATGAGTTGGCTTTTGCACTTTTGGGAATAAGGGAATAATCGTCCTTTTCTGAGCTAATGGGAGACATAAGAGTATCAAGATTGATTGATTATGGAAACTGGAAAATCTATTCCAGTCCTATATATTTCATTCTATATAACTTTTAACTTTAAACACCCAATAATAACTACTACTATTAACTAACATAATCTTTATAAAGGCAGTCAATTTACAATTTTTTTTTATTATTCCAAAACTAAACTGTTTACCTAAGATATTAACCAAAGTGAAAGCACTCTCTTTTCCATCTCCATTGGAAACATTTTTTTTTATTTTTTTTTTTACTTCCCTATCTCCTTTTTCCCGATCTCCTGACAAGTTGCCGCCCACTTTTAATAATGTGGAATAAAAACGCCTTTCTATGAAGTTTTTCCCAGGGAATTGGAAAAAAGTTTCCCCCGTAAACTTTGGCTTCACACAAAACGTCAGGCTTTAATGACAACCACCATGGCTGGCAGCCACCGCACTCGCACGCACTCAGACAGGTTGAATTATACTTATTTTTTGTAGTTTCATAGAGAGACTCGATGCGGTCTTTGGCTTTTACGGAGCAACTTGTTCTCGGTTGCTGCTGCTACTCCTGCTCCTGGCTGGCAGCTCACAAAAGACGGAAAAACAAACTAATAAAAGTAAAACACACACGGACAGGGGCAAAAACACGGATACGAACAGGGATACGGACACGGATACGGACATCAACGCGGACACGGACCAGGATGGGGGATATGGACATCAATAAATGGGCTGGGGAGGGGATAGAAGAGCATTGCAAGTCGACAACAAGTAAACTGAGTGGAAGAACAAAGGAACTACTACATAGAAGCAACTTGCAAAGGTACACTTCGATTCGAAATTTTAAAAGGATTTTTGAAAGGGATTTTAAAAAGTTATTTAAAAAAAATGCTTTCAAAGGTTACAGTAAGTGAGGATTGTTATCGTAGCTATAAAAAACATAAACTTGACAATATTGATAGTAATTTTTTACAGTGTATAACCAACTGGCCATGATAATAACGCTGTGGTCAGCCGGTGGCTGAGCAAGGGGAGTCCATTGCGGACGGGTTCATCACGTCACTTACAATTCAATCCCTGCATGGACATGGCTGACAGTTCGGCTGACGATGACTGGCCGGGCTCCAGGCCCACCTCCTTTAGCTGGGACATTGGCGGGAACATGGTCGCTGACATATTAAGTACTTCTTGGTATCTGCTTCTCGTTTGCGTTGCGAATAATGCTGGCAATGATGACGCCGGCGATATGGTGGTCGATGTGGTTGGGGCCAGCGATGTGCTTGATTCTGTGGAAGGTTCCATTGTGGTCGTCGTCCTTGTTGTGGTTGCTGTTGTTAGCTGGGATCTCTGGGTGGTTGACGTGCTAGCCGGACGGACATCATACGCCGGGGTATTGGTGTAAAGCTCAGGATTAACTTGCTCCTGCATCAAACAATAGTCAACGCACTGATGCACGGCCAATTCCAGCTCCGGTTCCTCTGGACATTCTCGACTCGGACACGGAGACCACCAGACCTTCAATGGAAAATTCAAAGAAAATAAATGAAAAAAAAAGACAAAAGAATGTATTGGAAATTAGAAATGGTTAAAGGATTTGTGCAAGCAGCGGGAAGGCTAAAAGATGTTCAGGAAAAGCTGAAAATATCCCAGAACATTTGCTAGGGGATGCTTAACATCGATTGTTTGAGCTGGCAGCTAAGATTGGTTCAAGGTATTTGCTCTTAAATGGGATTATTATATGAGAAAAAGTATATGGCTTTCAAATTTAAAGAAATATTTGCGATAATTTGGGGTTTTGTTAACTTAAAATTAAGAAAGGAAAATGTAGCCAAGCACTCTTATTAAAAATAAAACCAAGTAGGCCCTAAAAATTACATCTCACAGTTGATGTATCATTTTGTTCAGTTCTCAGTTGACAGGGCTATAGGGTAGGTCATACAATCTTAAATCAAAGACCCCACGAAAAAAGAAACAAGCAAAACCAACAATGTCTTCGCTGCCGACCAAGTCCTGGACCATTCAGATTCGCGATCTGGCCACCTCACCCTTTGCCATAATTGCGCTGACCTGTGTCCTGGGATATGTGGCCTACATGAAGACACGCCGTCAATATGGAACCTACGATGATGAAGACTACGAGAAAGAGGGACACCGTAAGCTGCCAGCTCCATTGACGGGATTACGCCTGAACCGCAAGCAATTGGCCAACTATAATTCGGACCGCCCGGATAAAACATATTTGATTGCCCTTTTTGACGTGATCTATGATGTCTCGAGTGCTCCCCATGACTTTGGACCTAGCGGTAGATTCGCTAAACTTGCCGGAACCGAAGTCTCGCACTACATTAGGAAGCAAGCCTTCTTTGAGATGCGTGATTATGAATCCTATTTGAAGGAATGGCAGCTGATGCTGGCTGACTTCTTCTATAGAGCTGGATTACTTATCGATGGGGACAATGAGGTTTCTGGTGATAATCTCAAAAAAATGGATTCCATTTCCGAAGAAGTTGAGGAGAAGGCGGAGTTAGTGTCTGAATCGGAGGAGGGAAAAGCTAAAGGGGAACCAATAACGAAATCGGAACTGAAACCGGAAAAAGAGCCAAAGCTTAAGATCCCAGAACTTTCTATACATGATGTCTGTCCACTGGATGAGGGTATCAATTCCGATTGCGAATCTCTTTGTACTGCCTACGATTTCCTACCAGGACATGATGATCGCGCTGATGAGGAGGATGATGATGATGATGAGGACGAGAATGATGACAATGAAGAGTCCCCTAAAGCTGGTCAAGGGGATAATAATGGCGATGTCTTCAATGATCTGACCATGACAGATGCCGTCTCCAACCAGACCATGTGGAATGAAGCCGATGTAACGATGGTGCCCATTTCATAAAGACCCTCTCACCTTCACGCATCGCCTATCGAAATCCAGCCGAAAGTGGCACTTAACCCATCATAAGCCCATCATATACGAACTTAAGCCCTTAGCCATAATAACACGCAAACATAAATAAATATCTTTCGGATTTTATGTATATCTGCATTTGCAGCAGCACTTACACTGAGAGAAAACATTAAAGCCATCATCATCATCAACACTTTTTTACATAACCCCCTCAAATCACATCTTTTGCAAGTTTCAATAGGGTTTTCTAATACATTTGCTATCAAATACATGGGTTAAGGTGTCTTAAATTAGATTTATATTATTTTCTCTCTGTGTACTGCCTGTGGCTGTGGGTTCGTGTTTCTGCATATATCCGTTACCAATTTTAATGTGAATTCAATAAGGCTCTGCCAAGGGTTGCAAGGAGATGATTGGGGCGAAGAGGTTGGGAGTATCGAACGTTCGCCTGCAATAATAAAATGGTAATTTCCGTTCACTGCCATCGTCGTTGGCTGCGGCAGCGGTCGATGCCAAATAAATTTATGCCAAACGGCAAACCGAACTCGGCTCTATAATGGCATAAAATAGTAAACCGCAAGCAACAGGACATGGCCAGTGGTACAGGACGTAACGTTATATGCTACATGTGAAGACTCCTGCTCCTGCTCCAGGAATGGAGACGTCCAACGAACGTGCGGGATGAACACACAAATGTAGCCATAAGATGCGTTTGCATGCCCTAATGGTAACAGAATGCCCTTCAAATGGGTATTTATAGTTTGAAGTTGAAATTTGAATTGTAAAGTAAAATATTTGATAAAGATTTTACTAAGTTTTTTTCGTTTCACTTTCGTTCTTACATTGAAATCAAACTAAATTGCTAAGTAGCACACCCCTCGATACCTTTCTTATAGGGTATCCCTTATTCGCATAGTCACCTTCACTACTTCCCTTGTTTGCTGCAGCTATTTTAATGGTGTTATTGTATTTTATGGGCACATCATAAATACAAATTCAATATACGCCCGTGCCAAGTGGTGAATGCTGGGTGGGATTGGCTGCGTATGTGCGTATCTCTCAGATACATCCGTGAAATGAGGCGAAAGCTGGGGCGTCTTTTGGCCAAGGGCCAGGGACCAAGGTTCCCAAGGATCTCCCCCGAAAATAGCAGTTCCATTGCGTTTCATTACGACTAACGGCAATGGCTGGAGTGCGATTGTGTTAGTGTGTGTGTGTGTGTGCTAGTGTATGAGCACAAGAAAGATCTTAATGTGTGTGCCAGTGTGTGCAGTCGTGTTGGTGTTTTAGTGCGGCTTAAGTGCTGGCAAAACGACACTAAGATAAATGTACGTGATACACAGGCAGGGACATGAAACACTCACACTAGCACTCGGAAAAATCCATAAGAAAATGTGATAAGAAATAGAGGAAAATGTATTTTCTTACTAGAACAAAAAATTGTTAGTAAATAAACTTGAATATTCATAACATCCAGGCTTTATTTTACTAAAAAATTATAATTTTTCTGTATTTAATTAATTGATTTATCATTATTCTTCAGATTTCCTAAAATAAGTAAGCAAAGATAATGTTTATCTTACATTTAACCCACTAAGAACCTTATTCTGTTTACCCATAATAAGATTTTCTGTTAGTGCCTGTAAACCTGATGTGCACTCGGCTTAAGTGGATTTTTTGGGCACCGTCTAGAAGTTCTGGAAGAGACCGAAAAATATCTCTCACTCTGTGGAAAATCTTGTAGCTGCTTCTGGCTGCGAGCTGTTTCTAATGCGTTCCATTTGCTTGCTGGCTGTCAGCCTGCTGCGTTGCTGCTTCTGTCATTTTCTATTTTCTATTTTCCATTTTCCATTTGAATTTGTTTAGCCTCGGCCCAGCTCTCAATCGTAAGGGCCCTTTGGCTTCGTTTTACCATAATATCGCAGTCATGCGGATGTTCATCCCCCCATCCCCTCACACCGTCTCACTATCCATAATTCGATTTATGTAAAACTCTTGTAGTCTTGTAGTCCTGCAACTGCTGCAATTTGCTGCCACTGCTCAGCTCGAAGTGCTGCTTGTGTCCAAATGCAATTGCCAAAAGGTGTGAGACTGTCAGCTCTGTCGGTCGGAGCTCTGCTGACTCCATAAAGAATGCAATATCGAGAGGATTGAACGAGAGAGCTGAACTCTGGTCGAACACCTCTGGGAAGAAGTCTGGTGGGAGAGTGCATTTGTATATCCACACACCCAAAATCTCTTCCTGGCAGCCATAAAGCATGTACTCAAATTTGTTATGCCACATCTGACCGGCTTAAAGGACCCAAAGGACACGCAATAACAGCCAACCCCAGTTACAGTCGTTTGCATTGATATGATCATAAGCATAAAGCGTACACATATATACATATATATATATCTACATATATCGATATCAATAAAAAGGAAACGCTGAGGGAAATCACAGAAATTCTGGTACAACATATATATATAGATATTGCCTTCGACCCCGTTGCTCCCTTTCACAGATGGGATGACATTTATTTGCTTTATTTCGATGATTTTACATGACGCAAATTTATGCACAACTGCAGATAGAACCAGGACCAGCACCAGAACCGAACCAACGACAGCAAAAAGGACAAATAATTGGACAAAAAAAAAGAAAAGATGGTTTCAGCTGCTGCACTCACAGGATGGCAGAAAAAGATGTGCACTCGAAGAATTAGCTTGAGTTTTTACTTATTTTATTAAGAGGTTTTGTTTGGGAATCACCAGAAAACCTATCTCAAATGCCTTGGTTAAGCTCAAAGTATAAATTTCAGTTTAAGCTGACCAAAAACTAAATTTCAATTTAAGTATTTCTAAACTCTATCGTATATAACTGTACTTGATTGTTAATAATCATACAATTCTATATTTCTTTGTTCTCTTTTGTCGAGTGTCCAGTCACTTGAACAAACGAATAACTGCCAAGTTTGGTACTCCGTGCGTATACGTTCTATCGGTGTGTGCTTCGTCGCAATGCGTATCCGCCCCATGTACGTTTGTGTGTGCGCCAGCATGTGGCACGTTGCTGGGAGCCCAGAAATTGCCAGGAAGTTGCTACACACAACGAGAGCATCTCCCTGATTTGATTTCTTTTTTTTTCGCAGAAACGCGCAAAGCGGCAACTTGCCACGCATTAGATACACACACAAACACACATACACGCATATTTTACATGTTAGTATTGGTGATTCCGTGCGAAGAGTGTTCGTGTGGGTGTGTGTGTGTATTGCATGTGGCAACATTTTGTTGCCGCTGCCTCGAATAAATGCCGGCTTTTATGTAGTTCTCGTCTGCCCACATCCATTGCTCCTTCTTGGTTCTCTCGAAAATAGAGACATGCCGTGACTGAAGTGAGACCATTGTGAAAAGTGGAAAGAGGGCTTAAAAGCAGTTCCCAATGGCTAAGAGGATGCCGAAGATTTTTGGCAACTCGCACGCAACAATTGCCATTGAAAATTATCTGACGAGCTGTTGGAAATTCACTGCCAAAAATGTGGAAAACTTTAAGATAGAAATCGTTTTCAATGGGAAATCATGTATTATTCGCTGATTTTCATGGGTTTTTTCCATGGTTAAAACTTTAATTTTTAGTAACTGAGAACATTTTAAGCACGTATCTTATGTACTCCTTCACTTTCATTCTCAACTTGACTATCCATGCAGTTAAAGTCTTGAAAAAAGTGAGAAGGGCCATGAAATCGGAGGATGTTAAAGTGGATGAGGAAAGTGTAGGGTAACCATGAAATAAGCGCATTAAAACTGTACAAGAGCAACAGCTGTTCCAACATCAGCGGGAGAATAATGCATCCGGGGAAGTTTTACCCGCAAGGGAAAACTCAGAGAATCGCGGTGGGAAAACCACAGCCACATCATTTTTAGCTCTTAACTAAACAAGCGTCTAAAGATATTTGCCCACGCACCTCAACCGCAGCTACCCCCCTCAAGCAGATTACAGTCTTCGCCAAACATTCAAACTGATTGAATCGATGTCAAAATGCTTTAATCGATGGCAGGTGGAAATTTCCAATGCTTAAAAGTATGCACAGTGAGAAATTAAGGTGAAAAATTTGCAATATGAAAAGGTTTTAAGTTCCATTTTGGGAATATAAAAATGTTGTAAAAATAAATTTAATATATCTTTAATATAATATTCTTCGACTTTTTCTTCACGTGCAACACTTACCTCAATATCACCGCTGTCTGGATGTCTCAATACGAACGCCGATGGCACCACGCCCGGAATCTCCTGCTGCGGTATAAAGAGCAGCGAGTGATGGAAAATCGCATTCAGGAGCAGACTCATCACAACGACCGGTTTGTATTTGCCAAATTTGTCAACGAGAAAGCCTGCAGGGAGTAAAGTCAAGAAGAAGACGGGGGAAAAAAACAGGATAAATCCAAGGAAAATGTAAGCGAAATTGCAGCAAAATGTTGGAAACTACTGCATCTTGGGTGTGTGTGAGAATCCCAGAGTTCCCTACTCAAAGTAAGTTGTCTACCATTTGGCTGGGGGCTTTGATTGGTTGCTGCCAGCTTAAATGCAGTTTAAGTTGGATTTGCCACACCAAGAAGACAAGCCCCAAAAAGGCAGAATGATGCACCCCAGAATGCTTAAAATTGCTTAAAGAGATTCTCTTTTTAAAAACATATCAAAATTTGTTCATTTAGTTTGCTGTCATTGCCTTGTTTATTAAACTATTTTCATGACTAGTTAAAGGAACTATTTTAAGATAACTTAACATTTATTTTTTATTGCTTAAGCTCTATAAAACTTATTTTATTTTGGTGATATCTCCAGAGCTCGTTTCGTTTTTATTGCCGAACCACTTGCAGCTTTCAATGCCATGAAATGGGACTATCAGGCTGGATTATAGGGCAAGTTGGATGATCGAAATTTTTGATGTGGCAACTTTACGAGAACGTTTTCACTTAGCTGACATTTTATATTTGTATATACACAGCTTTTATGTCCTACAATTCGACCAGCTGCATGCACTTTTCTCTTTTTTTGCTGTTGCCGGTTCCACCTTGCAACGCGTTCAACATTTATCTGCAGCAGCGAGAGTGTCCACATAAAATGTTTAAAAACCTTCACTGTCGCCAACATTCCATACCGCAAATGCATTTTTTAAAATGCAAAAGCAAATAATAAGAATGAATGCAAATAAAAAAAAAACATGGAAAAACGATGAACAAAAGGAGGAGAATGCAACCACACGATGGGGGCACTTCACATGCAGACAGTCAAAGGAGAACAACAAGAACTTTGTTTAATTGTCATTTAAACTGCAAGTGAATTAAATTATTCGCACTCGCTCGGAAAAGTGGCCTGGTCTAAAATATAAAAAAAGAATGTTAACCATCGAAAAAGTGCTCATGTGTGGGTGAATAAAAAAGCAATCAAATGTCCGGCAGTTTGATTAAAAAGATATAAATTTACGAAGCGGGTGGCCACTTTAAATATTTGAATTTTCGGTTTTTTTGTTTTTTTTGCTTTTGAAATGAAATTGTTTATCCAGGACTTAATTGATATTTTACCTACTGATTTTTAGTAGGAAATAATCTATATTTTTGTTAATATTTAAGTTCTAGAAAAAGTTGAATTAAATAATCATAAAATCCCTCCTGCAAAATAAGCTTCTTAGTTTTGGTTTTCCCTCTCATTTCCCTACCTCCCATCTATCAAACAAAGCACAACTTTTAATTAAAATCAACGCCCAACACTAATTAAGATGCCTTAAAACAATTAACCGCCTCTTTACTCACCTGTTATGGGCGGGCTAAGGAAGGTGGTGAAGGGCAGGGCCAGGTAGATAATTGCAATCTCCTCCACCGTAAGTCCAATTGACTGCATATGAATCGTCAGGTAAGGCAAAAGGGACGAGGTAGCTGCAATGGGACAAAAGAAAATACAGATTATTCACCGATTTATTGGAAATCGCGGAATGAAACTTAATTATCAGCAGGAAATGTGTAAGAAGGGAAATTACTCAAACGAAATGATGGAATGTCGTTGGGGTTAATAAAGCCAGTTGAAGGTAATTAAAAACTGTAGGTAAATGATGGGGAAAGGGTTATTAAGGATTAGATTTGGCCGAAAAGAAAGAAAAGGAAAGGAAGAGAAGGAACTTTCTACATTTTTTCCCTCTTCCTAAGACATTTTCTTAAGTAACAAGCAAGCTAATAATATCACTAAGAAAGTAGTATGAAAGAAACATGTTAAGATCAAATTTTATTTTGCTTTTCAAAGTCTAAAAATGGCTTTCCTTTCATTTCTTCATTTTCATTATTTATAACCTACAAAATAACCCAAAAGTCACTTTGCGAAACAGCAATGGAAAACGCTTTTCCAAATAATCTTCGTGCAGTTCAATAATTTATGAACATTAACGCTTCACGTTGCCGTTGCCAAGAAAAAGAAAAGTGTGTAAAATCAAGGAAAATCGAGGGAAAATGATGGCAACAAATTGGGCGAAACAGGAAGGCATTCGCATCCAACCAATATTCCCCAGCTACCATTTCAGCCTTGCGCAGCCTTGACCAATTTAAATGCAAACACGCCAAGGATCCCGGGCACGTCTCTCGGTCCGGAGGGGAAAAGTGCGTGTCCTGAATAAAATTCGTTTGTTAAAGTGCAGTTAACACTGGGCCTGGGCCTCGGAAAAGGGCGGCTTGAATTCAACCGTTTTTTTACAGCTCCTGCATTGCCTCAGATAATTAACAATAATACGCATGGTGTGTGTGAGTGTGTGTGTGTGTCGGCGTCTGTTTGTATTTGCTCAATGCAATAACAATTAATTGCTCGTATTGCCGCTGCCGTTTCTTCCCTTTCGCCGAAACGGAAACGGAAACGCAAGCATGTCAGGGTTGTTTGGCTTGGCGGCCATTCATGTTCATTCGCATTCTCGAACACACACATACACACACACACAAAGAAATTGTTAAAAACAAAAAGAAAAGTTTATGAATATAAAAAATGTATTTGAAAGAATATTGAAGGCTTGAAGGGCGATTTCAAGTACAGATTTTTGAAAAATCTTATTACTAACTAAAATATTTCACCTGAAAATATATATATATAATGTTCCAAAAAATCACAAAAAATACTTTTATTTATTAAAATATTATTTCCCTTTATAAAACTTTATTTTTTATATCCCCAAAAATCATAAAAAGTGGTTTTAAATAAGGAAAAAATGTTTTTCTTTACAAAAATTATATCAAAAAGCTAAAACAAAAATCATTAAAAATAGTTTTAATTATAAACTTAGCCAGAACAAATAAAGCAAAATCAAATAAAAACAAAAACATTAATAATATCCAATTTGATAAACTTTTCCCTCTACAGCTGTCAGTGTAAAGTTTGGCCTCAGTTCCGTTCGGCTGGGATCTGTTCCAGCCAGGCTGTCATTCGTAATTAATGTCCCTTTGCCCATTTAAATGGCACGTTTTTTTTGCCCAAAAATCCCAAACCCACTTTAATAATTATTATTCAGTTTTTCACTTGTCACTCATACGCGTACAGACATTTTCAGCTATGCACAAAGTTTTGGCAATACGTTCTCAGTTTGTCTATGCAATTTGCAACTATATTGCACTCTATTTGTGCATATTTGAGGGGACAGATGGAAGCGACTCTCAACTGACACTGACAAATGCGACATGTCCCGGCAGAAATATTAATTGCAATTTATTTTATCATTTGTTTTTGGTTTTTCTTTTTTTTTGGAAATTTATCGACCGGTGGTGTATAGTGAATTGACATTTAGGGCAAGGGGTAAACTTATTTCGGAAATTAAAGTTGATTGATATGAAAGGAAAATTGTATAAAAAATAAGACAAAATCTGTCAATGGCAGGAAATAAAAAAAAATACTTAACTTTAGAATTTAATCTTTTAAATTTAATGAAAACCTCGCACAGACTGACAGCCTTTTATGCATTTTTTTTTATAAAATTAAACTTAAAAAGCTTTTACAAAGCCAGGAGTGAGTCAAAAGATCAAAAGACAAAGAAGGCAGAACAAAGGCCACAATTTCAAATTGATTGAATCGAAATGAAAATATTAAACAAATAATTAAATGATGTTAATTAAATGACCAAAGGCTTCTTCTTATGCAAACAAAAGGCATATTTCAGCAACTAATTACAGTTCAATACGCAAGCATTATGAATGCAATTATAAATTTAACATCATTTTTCTGCAAAGTTACTCTTTCTTTTTTAAGGGTATGCGTGTTTTTAAGGAAAGGTTAAAGTTTATAACACTATAAAGGCAAGTTTCATCAAGGATTTTAAGATATTTTAATATTTTCTTAACATTTATATTTTTTTCTCAACATAGTCATATTTTATTTTTACTTTTTACTTTAAATTATTAACAATTATTTACTTTTAAACGAAATAAAACAACAAAGAGAAAAGACAAAAAGAGAGAAAGACAATTGATTAAAAATTGCCTTTTACATTTAACAACAAGCCACACAAAAATATGAAAACGAGAAGCCACAAACATTTTAATAACATGTTCAGAGATTTCTTTTGTCAAGTCAATGTTAAATTTTAAATTACATTTTATTCTTAAGCCAATTAAATTATTTTGTGAACTTTGCACTGTCGAAAAAAGTCGACAGAGATATAAAAGATGTGCCCAAAAATAAGCCACGGCTTAGCTTTAGCCAAATAAAAAACGCATTAATACTCATTTTAGTGACAATCCGAGTTTAATGGCAAAAAAGACAAAGGGAGGTAGAGGTGGTGGATGGGTAGTAAAATGCTTTTGCCATTGACCGCCAGAAAAAAACATTCAGAAAATGGCGCACGGTCAGAAAACGGAGGCGTCTACACATATGTCTCTATGGCTGTGTTTGTATGCTCGTCCAAGGCAAATCAAAGTAAACCTTTCTCAAGCTTAAATCACATAAGCTAGATTTATTTACAAAAGACGCACAAATACACATGTACAAACACTCACACACATACAGACAGAAGTTATGAATGCCTAATTGCCACACGCTGGGAAAATCTGCTCAATGTGCATCAGAGAGTCTAACTGAATTTATACAAATGTGTTACACATTTTCCCCCAGCCTAATTGATAACTTCCGACCAGCCCAGTCCCCTACATTTCGAAGCAGGGGATTTGGAGAGTGTGATAATGAATTCAGATTCACTGCCAGAGGAATAAATCTGCCTACCGGACTTTGCTCAACATTTTTCCAGCCGCTGCTGCTGCTGCTGCCTGCATCTCCTATAAATTGCGTTTGTCTTGGCTTTTCGTTTCTGAGATAAAAAACTGTACTTTCATTTTGATAAGTTAAATAGAATAATGTAAATATTTGTATCTAAAATAAGATATTTTTTCAAAATTCAGTTTATTTCTTTGACAGCTCAACAGAACAACGGGTCGTATGCGTGATATCTGTAAAAATCACTTTAAAAGTCAAAAATATATATCGCCTTTACTAACCATTTAAACCCTTTGATAAAAATGATTTCTAATTGGTTTTTAATTATATATATTTTGTGGACATTACTCACCGCCATACATCACGAAGAGCGTAATTTTCAGCATTATCAGATTGGGATTAATGCCGCGCCGCTGGCAGAATTCTCCAAATCGCGATAGCTCCACCTTTTCCGTGACCACCGGATCGGTGGCCATTTCCTCGTTGACCATTTTCCCCATCTTCCCCAGCTAACACCTGGAGTCTAGACACGTCGACGACAGTTTTGAAGTTCGTTTCAATGAAAAGCGTCCAGCGGGAGGGGGAAAATTGCCACCGATCTAAGTTTCTCGGTCACACACAGTTAAGCACACAAACACAGTCACTAACACTAATACATGGCAAGGCACTCGAAATTAAATCCGTAGTTTATTTTGCTTTTTATGATTTCTCTCGCTGGCTTTTTCTTGTGATTTTGATTAAATTCAATTGAAATTTGTGATCATCAAGGCAGACCAGTGGCTCTCTATATATATATATATATCTATGTATATTACACTCTTAATCACGTTTAAGTTTGGATTTTCCACGACTTCTAATACTTAATCTTGGTTATTTTCAATTATCTTTTCCGTTTTTCCCGCACTTTTCAAGGTTTCCACTTTTGCTCCACTTTGGTTTATTCCGAAAATTCACTGCGTGTTTTCCTTCACTTTCTCTATTCATTTATTTTTCCTTTTTTTTTTTTTCTTTAGTTTGCCGTTTGAACTTTCCAAGTCGACGATCGCTTTCTGACTGAGCTGCAGGAAAATGAAAATCTCTTATCAACCTCTCGGCTATATCATGAAGATCTCTAGATCTCCAGATCTCCAGATCCCGTATCCCCCAGATCTCTGAGCGCTCAGTTGATGATCATAATGATGATGCTGATTCTAACTTAAATTGGTGGGCTTCTCAGTGTGCGTTGGTGACAGATCTTGAGCTCTTCTTGTTGGTGTTTTGTTGATGCGACAAGATCGCCGGAGAGATAATGTCTCCCGTATTTCTTGAATGGAGATAAAAGCCCCCAACAGAAACCTGAGCGACGGCTGACGTGCGACAATGTCGCGATCTTCGCCAGAGTGACTGGCAGTCCGGTGATCACGGAGGTCGGGGATCTGGTATCTAGCGAAAAGATCTCACTTGCTAGGCCAAGGGGTTGTGAGCCCCAGATATATACCATGGGAAATATTAACAGTTTTGGGGCTAAAGACACCGTGAAAAATAAGTGAATTACGTTAAGAATTTCAAAGCTCTTTTTGAGGTCTTGACAGACTGGATTTGGCCCTTTTCCATTTCACTTTTTACTTTAAAAATCTTCCAAAAAAAATTGTAAAAAATGTAATTTTCTTACTTTATATCACCACCTTCTATCAGCCGTATTCAAAAGCTGTGGCATAATCTCTCCTGCAATCGAAAATTCCACTTAAACCAATCTCAGGACTCTTCAAGGGACTTGAACTGGAAAATCTTGCAATAAACACAAAAGTTCTATGCATTTCCTTAGCAAAAATTTCTAATAAGTTTTTCCAACGTTGCAAACCGAAGCAAAGAACAAACTCAACTGGCCGAAACTAATAATTATTTTTTGATAAGACCTGCCCATGGATAGGCAAAAAGAAACACATTAACTGATAGGGAAATTACTTTATGAAAACTATTGATTGATTGGGATCAAGGCACGTGTTAGGGGCTGCAAATTAACATAAATGACCTGACAACTGGCAAATTTTTAACATATTTTCATAGAATTTTTCTTAGCGTATCTGGTTGATATTTACGCCCCACTGACCCGGTCTAACCTCCATAAAAAACAAATATAAACCTTTATGTGCCGAGCTTAAGATAGCTCAAGACTAGCGCCGCTTCCTGAAGGGAGTCCATAACTTTGTTTTGTAAGTTGTCAGATAAGATAAGGTGATTCCATCTCGTGTGTCATGTGAGTGCAAAGTAAAATATTTAAACTGTCCCGGCACTAAGTAGAAAACTACAAATATATATATCTAATTCGGAGAACCGAAAGTGATGTCGATCATTTTTGTTTTTCTATTCTAAAAACCACCTCGACGTCTTTATACCATTGTTTATTATATTTCATAATCTTTCTAGTTCAGTTGTGGGTGGGTGGGCAAAAATTGTCAAAGATAGAGTGATTATCAGATACTTTTATAAATTTAGCACGCATCTATCTGAGATGGATGTGGGATATCAGGGGCAAACACAAACATGTTGTAAAACAAAATACGTAAGCAAAGTTGTCCCAGACTCCTCTGGCAGCCGTTTTTTGTTTATCAGCAAGCGAGTTCAGGGAGCTTCAGCCAACAGAAGCTGGAACGAAACCCTAAAGTGTCTAGCTAAAAGTGCAGTTAAAACTGTTTCCATCCCGTTTAGGTGGGTGATAATAATATAATAGAAAGGTTGAAAAGATAAATAAATAAATGAAAATGTCAAATTTTTCACATCTTTCAAGGTTTAGGGTATCTTTGAGGACCGCCTTTGATTCCATTGCTGTTTCCAGTTTTTAAATCTAAATTTAATTTAACCAAAGTTAATATGGTAAATCAAAAAATATATATTATGCAAGTCAAACCAAAGATAAAATACGTTTTATTACAATTTCAGCATTAACAAATAACTTTTACTAAATTTTAAAAAAGGGCATAAAAAAGTCAAACTTTTAAGCAATATTTTTTACAAAGAATTCAATTTTTCCATTCAAAGATTTTCTTTCGTTACTCTTACATTTGATCGCCCAACTGACAAATAAAATTCGTTGGATATGAGCACTCCAAATCATCCATGAGGCCCTTGTCCAGGGTAACACAATGCTGCAGGCCATGGTAGTTATCAGGTTGACCGCCATGCCACTGCATATAGGATCCAACTTTCCCGGTTGCACTTACAAAGTGGCCCTCGTTTTCCTCATCAGTCAGTCCCAGCCAGTACTTAGCTTCACGTCTGCTTAAGGCTTTCACGGCATTGAACTCTTCTAAGTTTTGAAAGGCAGCCAGGTGACCCCTCTTTTGACGACAAAACCTTTCCGCATCTGCCCTATTTTTTCTTTCAATATTTTCTACATAAAAGTATCTAGATCCAATCTGCTGATAGCCAAGCGGAACTATATTTTGATTGATCCATTCTAGGTTTTCCTCCAAACCTTTAACTCTCATTAAGGTTTCGCTTAGGGTAGCAAAAATGCCATTCAACTGCTGGCGAAAATCTTGATTGAAGTCCAAGAGTTGCTTTCGAAGGTCTTCGCAGATATTCGTATCATTATTACAACAATGCGTTTTGGCCAGATCAGCTTGGATCTGCTGAACTTTATCGTACAATGGATGCAATGCAGCTAGACAGAATGAGCCACATTGAAGTGGGGCATTTGTCAGGACACAAACGGACTCCGAACGTGCCATCCCAAAAAGAAGGCAGGCGGCGATCACAAAATTAACTTCGAGCTTGAGCATTTCGAGAACGCAAACTGAACCGGAATATATTCTCTTGCCGTCGACGAGCTGTTTTTATACCAAATAATCTAGAATCATTCATAGGTTATCAACTTGTAATAAAGGTTATATTATGTAAATGATAATCAAATTGTTAACAATAATTCCCATAAAAAGAGTTACTCTTAATCATTAAAATTGAAGTTTAGCGCTCGGCGTTTAATATTTCTTTTGAGGGAAATCTATCATATGCATTTATTATTTTTTTTCATTTAATACTAAGATGTCGGTTTGCAGCACCTTGCTTAAATAGTTAAATATTGTATTAATTAAGTTTGTTTTAATTTCATTATCATGCCGTATGACCACATTTTTAAGTTGGCAACTCTACATTTAGCGGATGCACATTCCTCACTTAACAGTTTAAAAGTAAACACTTGGTAGGTTTGAAGGTTTGCTCAAGTAAAAGTAAATATTTGGTTACTGTCGCTGTTAATTTAATGTAAACTTTGCGGTGTGACCAGATCAGAGCTCATGAAAAATGATGTGAAATTTCAACGCGCAGCATCGATAACATTTATTTTCATCTCTATGTCCCTATTTTTTGAAAATGAATGAATTTCTCTTTGGCTAGAAAACTTAAAGATTGTTAATAATTTTATAATATATTTTATATATAATATATCTACAATATATCTACTATATATGATATAAAATAAGGTGCAAATCAATCGACCGACAGCAACATACACATTTTCAAACCATAATCATATAAAGTCAAGCAAGTAAAAATAAAATATTTCAAACATAAAACTTAGAAACGAAAGCTTTTCATATAATTTTGGTAACTCTCATTATTATATTTATATATATTAAGATTATTTTGCTATTAATATTAAAACATATCTTGCATTAATGCGCAATCCAACTATTAAAATGATTACTACTAATGAATTTAATAATACTAAATATCTATTGCTGGAACAAATTTGAATTTGCGCGCCTAGCTTCCACTGTTAAAAAGCCGTTGCATCTTAACATTTTTTTATATTAACAGACAATTAACATTCTAGTGATACCACTCATATATCTAACACTGCAGTATGACCATAGATAAGCCCGCTAAAAGAGCTATCAAAAGGCGTTGTGTGACCGCGCTTCGACAAGGTGAAAAACCCATAAAAGAAAAAAGTGTGAAAAAGGCCAAAAAAAAATTGGATCCCGCGATTTGGAGCCCGCAAGCGGCAAATCGCCAGCAAAATTTCGAAGCGTTCGGACGTATTTCGCTCTCCGTTCGCCCGTGCATGTGTGCGTGCGTGTGTTTGTGTTTTTGTGTTCGCAGCGTGCGGCGTTTGCGATGAAGAGGAAGATCTAAATCCGAATCAGTAGCGAGAAATACAAATAGTTAATAATTATATTCGAGTGTCGCGGCAATTTGCCAGTATCTAAGGGCAGGAACCGAGATTAGATAAAATACACGGCGAGTATATAAAGTGGAAAAGGCACAACATCAAAAAAAAGCAAAAGGGGAAAGAAAGAAAGAAGAAAAGAAGAAGTTCAAAGCCAAAGTCCGTGTGCGTGTGTGTGTGCATGTTTGTGTTCGTGTGCGACGCTTGCAAAATTATCGGTGTGTGCGTGTGTTGTTTTTGTTAGTGCACCTGTCTGCAAAATAAAAATAAAAGAGACGGCAACAAAAACCATAACAACAAGCGAGTGACAACTAAATAAAATCAAACAAAAAATTCTGCAAAGATAAAGAAACCCAAAAGTAAAAGAAGGGAGATAAGATAAAAGTTAGAAATAAAAGGAAGATTGTGCGTATAACTGTTAAAACCGAAACCGGTGAAAGGAAAAGGCAGAAAAAGAACGGGAACCACTTTAAAAAAATCCCGTTTTTCAAGGAAATTTCTATATCAAGGTGAGTTTTGAACCACATGACACACTTTCTTTCGCTTTTTTCGGGGGTTGACGAAATTCCTTTGGATGCTGCGTATGTGTCGAAATTTCTGCGATTTAGCCTAGACCAGAAAAACACTTTTCGAAGGTGGATGAGGCTGTTCCGACTCAAAACCACCCCCTTTTGGGGGTGGTTTTTCGCTCTCAGCTGAGCGGCCTCGCTTTTTCTCGATGTGTACATATTTTGAAGGCCATGCCGCAGATGGATTCCATTAAAATCAACAAATGCTTGTTTTTGGGGGAAGCTCTTCTGAAATAAAACTTTAAACTAGAAAGTTATTTATTTCCAGTGAGAGAAAATACCTTAAAAGGGTCATTATTAAATCTTTTAGCTTTTTATTAACGACTTTTTCAAACACCAATAGATTTTAATAATCTTCAAAACTGTTCAATTTTTCAAGAAATCCATTAAAACAGACTTTTTTAAGCAACGTCTTCCTTAAAACACAATTATCTTAGCCAAATTGAGACATAAATGAGCAATGGAAAAGCAAACAGCTGAACTTGACCCAAACACATGCATTCAGCATTGAGATCCAGCCCCTTTAACGCTCTGCTGATCTAGATAAATGCAGAGGGGCAAATCCAAGAGTTGCACAAGGCATCCCCCCTTGGCCCATGTCCCTTCTTTAGACACCTATAATCTTTTTCGTAAAGCTCACACGAAATAAATCAGCGCAACTTGGACACGTTTTGTCTAGAAGCGAAAGAGATGGCTGGATTTGGGGATGAAAGAGACAGCAATGTCGGCTCATTAATCACAATGACTAATTTGTGAAGTTTTTTCTTACGTTACGTATCGTATTTTGTGGTGTTTTCATTTTGAGCCGACAACGGCGGTCAGTTTAAGCTCATTAAAGTTACCCAAGGGTTAAAAATAAATTGCGACGGGAACCTAACTACGTATGAAGAGCAAAAGAGACGGAGAACTGGGAGCTGTGAAAGAAATATAAAAAAACTCAATGCACATGGCAGACTTAAAATGATCTTCAAGCTAAACGAATTCAATGCCCTTCTCGGGTATAACACTGATAGCAAAGACGCTGCAGGAATCCAAAAATAGTCTGGCACTTTTGTGATAAGAAATGCAAATGCACATAATTTTATTACAGTGTTGGAAAAGTTTATATGTTATCATAACATTAAAAGAATTTTCAAAATCTATTGATTTTTTAAAGTAATATTTAATCATAATATTGAAGAAGTAAATTGAAAGTTTCTTTAACATAAAAAACTTCAACACTTTATTGGAAACTTATAAAAAGACATAATCTTACACTCCATAAATAAATCAAGCTAGCTTTTTTAAATGATAATTTTTGAAGTATTCCAGTTTAATTTCCTAAAGATATATCAATATTTAGATTACCTGTGAGGTTTGATCAAAAAAACACATAATTTAATACCAATAAGATTCTTGCCTTGAACCCATATACCCTATATAGTGTAGTGGATCTAGAAACCCAAAACTGACGATCAAATGTCAAAGCCGCTCTGTAGAGTTAAAAAAAAAGAATAAGAAGGAAATAAGAATGGTAAGATCGCTGGTGACAGGTGGATTTTGGTTCTATACACTGAATCTTCTCTACTCGTTTTCTACTGAGATCTTCTCTGTTTTCCAACTTTTCCCATTTTGTTTGTTTTCCTACTCGTTCTTTTCTACCTGCTCAGTCTGTTTGTGTGATTTTTCTGGACTTTTGTCTTTGAGTTCTGGTTTTTTTTTTTTGTCTTGGCTTTACCTTGCTGACTAAGACGTTTGCCGGTTGCGTTTTTTTATTTTTGTTTTTACCTGGCGACAGGTGCGCATTGAGTATTTTGTGAAGTCGTTGCTGGTCATGTTTTCTAGTTTTGGAATTCAACTCGTTTCCTTTGCTTGAGCAATTTATCTACAGGCGGTTGAAAGGAGGATCCCCAACCTCTTATCTATATCCCCAGCAATTTCAAATTTGCTTTTTCTTCATTCCTCGTTTTTTCTCACTGTATCTGTGACTATGCCAAGGGGCTCACGTATCTCATAGACGCGATATGAAAAATCTGAATATTCCTACTGCGTCGGCACTGTCAGTCCTAGCCCCCTTCCAAATGCATATTCTCACTTTATCTACATCATTGGCTCGGTGCCTCGTCTTCTTTTATTGCCTTTTTGGCCTGGCTAGTCTGCGTTCTTTTTTATCTCAGCCGCTCTCTTATTGGCCCGCAACTTTAAACTGGGCCCATTAAATATTATGCCGTATATTCCAACTAATGGGCCATGGCTCAATTGGAAGTCTGTGTCGGCTCCAATCAACTCGGAAATAAGGAAGAGGCCAACAATGGCAACAAAGGAAGCTGTGTGATGTTGGTTAGTGCACAATTAAGGAAAATTGTTAGCATTTTTTATGCTTTAACTAACATTTCCACTATGCAAACTTGTGGTAATTGAATTAGGTATGCTTTAAAGCCAATAAAATCGTATTTTTACTTAATATTTAATAAATTTTTACCTTATTAACTAGTTATAAAGATCTTAAATGTATCATAAAAACGATGCTATTAAGTTTTTAACTTAAATACACTCAAGAAGTCTTCAAATGTGGCAGCTTCCTTTAGTAAACCAAAAAAAGTAATAACATTCCACACCCAAATGTACATCTTTATTACGTGTCAATAAGGTAAATTTCCCTCACCTTTCAATAAGATACTCTGAGTTGTAAAGGCCAGAACAAGTTTTCACCTGGCTAAAACAAAATATTCCCCAATGCATTCCACAAAATGCAACTGTAAATTTGCCAAGGCAACAAAAAACAAGGCAAACAAAAAAGAAAAGGCTCAAAATTATGGCAGCACGGGGGAATGTCTCGACTGAAGTGTGGCCTGCACTCTAGCTCTGTGTTCACCTGTGTGTTCTGTCCGCCACTCTCCTCCCCTCTTAAACAACTCTCTTCTGGCCAACATTTTTGGATAATTTGCAATATGCGTTGCATATCCATTAAGCCGCCTGAAGTCAAGAGTTGCCACTAACAAACGGCAGCAGCAACAGCAACAGTAACAGTAACAGCTAACAAAGGTGCAACATTTTTGCTGCTGCATTTTCCTGGCTTTTCGCCCTCAACCTCCACTTGTTGTTCTGGTTGAAGTTGTTGGCTGCTGCTGCTGTTGGGTGTCTTCTTTCCTGCTCCCTTTCCCCCTGACACTTC